GAGTGGCTGGTGTTAATGGTCCTGGAGTAATGAAGACCACCTCCTCAGGCTGGCCTGGCAGTAGGCAGGTGGAAGGAGGACAGGCAGCTTCAGGAAGGAAGCTGGTAAGCAGAGCTGGTGAGACCAGCAGGCAGGAGGCAGAGGGGAGGTACTTGGGCTCTGCACCACTAAGCTCCAGAGAGCTCCTGGGGATTGTGGCCAAAGTTTGCAAAATCCAGCTGTGAGTGGAGCAAAGGTTCCCTAGAGCAGCACTGGGTTCTGCAGAAGGGAATCAGCTTCCCTGGAAGGCACTACCTCATGAGCCGGAAAAGAGTGAGACTACTGCTGACTCCAGGAGGGTAGGGAGCTGTGTGACTCACAGCCAGTCCAGCCAGCTCCCACTGGCACAGGGTGGAGTCCCACTCTGCTCGTGGCCCTAGAGGAGGTCCCAGGTGGCAATTACAATACAGCACGAAGGGACAGAGGCAGGGTACTATGGAAGCCTCAAGGAAGGAGCACTCACCACGGAGGAGTCTAGGCAGGCCTCATGGAAGAGGTGACACTAATCAAAAAGATGAATGGAATTGGCTGGCAGCAGTAGGGAGGAGAGAAGGGAAGAGCACTTCTGGCAGAGGAAGTCTGCAAGGCACTGCCTTGGCACTGGGCCTGCTGTCCATGAGTAAATGTGAAGTATTATTACTGGGATTGATTTATCATCATTAACTGGGACATGTCATTTAGGCACTTAATCTTTTTACTGCCTTAAAGGTAGTTACTGTTATATTGTTGTTATGTGCTATCAAGTCAGCTCTTACTCATGGTCACCCAACATCCAACAGAACAAAACACTGCCCAGTCCTGCACCATCTTCATAATGCTATGCTTGAACCCATCATTGCAGCCACTGTGTCTTAATTCATCTCGTTGAGGGTCTTCCTCTTTTCATTGACCTTCTGCTCCATCAGGCATGATGTCCTTCTCCAGGGACTGGTCCCTTCTAATAACATGACCAAAGTATGTGAGATGAGGTCTCGCCATCCTTTCTTCTAAGGAGCATTCTGGCTGCACTTCTTCCAAGACAGATTTGTTCTGGCAGACCATGATGTTCAATATGCTTCATGAACACCAAAGGTAGTTACTACAATGAACAAATGTTTAATGCCACTGAGCTCTCCTCCTCTGTAAAAGGGGCTGTTGTGAAGACTAGACAGAAACACGGTATGTGCAGTGGTCAGCTGGTGTGACTGTGACACTTGTGAGGTGCCCAGCATACAGGGGCTGGCACACAGCAGGGGGACTTATGTTCCCTCTCTCCTTGGCCTGCTGCTCCAGGGGTTACTGGGGGGCGGTGCACTGGGGAAGGACCCTTTGGGATCTTCAAAGATGAGCAAATGTTTAACAAAGCAGGGACATGGCTAGGTCGAGTCAGACAAGCCCAGAGGAACAGTGTCAGGACCTGGCTAGAAATGCTCCTTACTCCTCCTGGGTTCTTCTGTGGAGCCAATAGCATAGACTGGCAGTGTAAACAGAGACAGGCTGCCTTGGAGAGAGCTGTGTGAAGCCCATTCCACCAGCTCCATGACTCTGGGCAAGTCACTTCACCTTTCTGAATCTCTGAGCATCAGTTTCCTCAACTCTACAACTGCGTTAAAAGACATGTACAAGAACAGAATATTCATAACATGCTCTATGTAATAGCAATAAATAATAATAATAAAATAAACAACAAAACAACTAGAAACAACCCAAATATACTACAACAGGAGATGGATCAATGACTAGTGATGTATTCACAAAATAGAATGCTTTCCAATAGTTAAATAAACAAATTAAAGTCACACAGGCAACAGAGATGGATTTAAAAAAAAATGTTATTGTTGTTATGTGCCGTCGAACATAATACTAGGTAAAAAAAAAGAAGTCATATAACTATAGAATGATTCAATTTATATAAACTAAAAAAAAAAAAACACAACTAAATATATTATTTAGAGATCCATACAAAGGTTATTGTTGTTGTTGTTTGCAGTATCATTATGGAAGTAGATTGCCCAACCTTCCTTCCGAGGAGTGGCTGGTAAGTTTGAACCTTCAGCCTTCTGGTTAGCAGTCAAGTGTCTTAGGCACTAAGCTACCAGAGCTCCTCCATACAAAGGTAGTAAAACTAAAAGGAAATCAAGGGAATTATTAGCACAATTAAAACAAAATTAAGGAAAGTGTTCTTCAGGATGAGAAGATGTGGTATCAGTGGGAGTGTAAAAGGATACCCAGAGGACCTCAAAAGTACAGGTAATGGCATGTTTTTAAGTTATGTGATGAATACACAGAGTCCCTGGGAGTTTCCCTGGGGTGTGGCCTGTATCACCTTTTATCTTACAAGAAATAAAAGGAGAGCCAAGTAAGCAGAGAGGGAGGGACCTCCTGCCACCAGGAAAGAAAGAGCCAGGAGCTGAGCATTTCCTTTGGAACCAGGGTGCCTGTGCTGAGAACCTCTAGACCCAGAGGAAGAGTGATGCCAAAGTACATGAAGATCTCTAAGAAACAGCAGGCCCACAGATGTTGAAAGGAGGCAAGGACCCTCCTCCAGAGGCAACAGTGAGAGAAAGCCTTTCCCTAGAGCCAGTACCCTGAGTTTGGACTTCTAGTCTACTAAACTGTGAGAAAATAAATTTGTTTTTTAAAGCCATCCACTTGTGGTACTTCTGTTATAGCAGCACTAGAGAACTAAGACAGGGGGATACACAGATGTTTCATGAGTATTCTTCTTCAAGCTGTATGTGTGCACATATATAAAACTGGAATATAACACTGATACCCAAGCCTATGATGAAGGTAGAGATAATGTATGTAAAGTATGGGCACACAATAAACATTCCGTTTTGAGTGTGTTGGCGCCACAGCTCTCAGTTTCCCCATCTGCAAAGTGAGCTGGTAGCATTGTGGACGTATTGTCCTCTAGCTTGTGGGTTCTGTGTTTCCTCTGTTCCCTCTACATCCATACTGTAGGTCTCTTCAGGGCAGATGTCAGGCCCCACTCACCCACTGGAAGAGTTTCCCCCTGGCCCTCTGTCACAAAAGTGGCAGGGGTGGCACCTGGTGCACTGGAATGGAAGCTCTTGTTCCCAGTTTTAAGTCTCTCTAGGTGGGGCAATTCAGACTTTTCTAGATTTTTCTTGTTAGTAAAATGGGCATAACAACCTCTGCCTCCCTCACCTAAGCCCACAGGTGGATACTGTAAAGTTCTGTGCTTATGTGAGGGGTCATGACTGACTGACCTGGGAGCTGTCCTTGTAGAGGAGTGGGTGCTACCTCCAGTGGGGGAAAAAAGGGGCATCCATGAGTGTAAGAGACTATTATGTGAACACTCACTTAGTGATGGGTGTAAATGCTCTACCTTTTTCTGGTTTTCCGCCTCATTTACTGTGCATTTGCTGGTTGAACCTGTCTTTCTATCTCAGCACTTATTTTAGAAAAAGTGTCCCTGGCCCTGGGTGTGGTCCCACCTCTATGCACCTGCTTCAGTGAGGCTGTACCTGAATATACCTGCTTTAGTCAGGATGTACCTGTTGAGTGTTCCTGTCTCTGTCTGGAAAGTGTCAGTCTGTGGGGTACCTATCTTTATAACTATGGACTTACCTCCGTGTACGTGATTCACTCAGTGCATATGACTGTACCTTTCGTCAGTCAGGGTGTACCTGTTAAATGTTCTATGATCTGAATGTACATGGCTGTACCTGTTTCTGTATCACTGTATGACTCCATGCGTATACATGCCTCACTCTGTGCTTACCTTACGCTTACTGGCCGGGCACTCTTCTAGACTCCTCGTCCCCCTGGCCTGGAGGCATCAGGACCGGACAGCACGTCAGAGCCCCAGCTACGCCAGCGTTCGCTGCGCCCCACCTCCGCGATTCCAGTCCTGGCCCAGCGCCCTCTGGCCGTAGGGGCGGGGCCAGGAGCCGGGGCGGGGCGGTGGGAGGAGCAGGAAGGGGCGGTGGCCGCTCCGCCCTCTCCCTCACCGCGGCTCCGGAGATCTACTCCCGTCTCCTCTGCCCGGCTTCCGCGTCACTCTCCTTAACGCCACCTGCCCGCCCACTGTCCCTTAAAGGCGCCACCGGCCTTGCCCCCGGGACCCCCATGGAGACGCCGCCAGGCGTGGCTGGCGCGCGGCAGGGTGAGCGCGCGCGGCCGTGAAGGAGCGCAGGCCTCGGGGTCTGGTCGGACCGGGGGGTGGGGAGGGCTCCGGCTGGGTCCGATTGAAGTGAGAGGGAAGTTGGGTTAGTATCTCCGAGGTTCACCGGTCCTCAGGACCGCTTCCAACTTAGCTCAAGTTAGAAGAACCCGGGGAGTGGGGCCAAGGTCCGGATTAGGGAGCCGAGCGCGCGCGGGTCTCGGGGCCGAGACAGCTTCCGCGTTACCGGCGCCCGGCAGCCAGCCAGAGTTTCCCAGCAACTTTTCTCAACGGTCGCCTCGGAAACTTCCCCGCCCCTGGTCCGGGAGTCCGGCACTATCAGCCCTGCGCCACCTGGGCCTGGGCCCGAGCGCTGGGCGCTTAGGCGGAGATGATGGCTTTAGAGGGGAAGCCCCGGCTTCCGAGTGTATTTCCAACCCTAGGTTTCCATGTGAAGGCCCCGCCCCGCAGCTTTGGGGGCGCGTCGACGTCCCCTGAGGCCTCCCTGGCCTTTTGGGTCCCGGGCCTGTTGTGGGGGTGGGAGTAGGGTAGGAGGTGGAGTCAGATCGTCTGAGTTCAGATCCTTAAGCCACCAGTTAACAGCTGGTTGAGAGGAAATTCTTACTCTCTCAGTGCCTCAGTTTCCTTGATGGGAAGGATACTTCCTGTCTGGGAGAGCTCTTGTGAGTACTACAGGAGGTAATACAGAAGATGGCTCAGCATGGTGCCATAGGTGGATGTTGCTTCACCATGTTGGGTGGGGCAGGAGCAGGGGAGAGCAACATTCCCCACCTCTGATGCTTAGCTGTCCTGCAGGAGCTGTGACAAGTGCCTGCCAGAAGTCTGAGCTATGAGTGCCCCCTGCGGAGAGAGGCCTGTCCAGGCAGCCAGCCCTGCCATGAGTCTATGGGAGCCTGGGGACAGCCACAGCTGGCAGGGCACCATCGGGCTGGCCCAGGAGCCAGCCACTGAGGAGGCATCAGCTGCGGAGCTACAGATGAAGGTGGACTTCTTCCGGAAACTGGGCTACTCATCCACTGAGATCCACAGTGTCCTGCAGAAGCTGGGAGTCCAGGCGGACACCAACACAGTGCTGGGCGAGCTGGTGAAACATGGGTCAGCAACCGAGCGAGAGCGCCAGGCCTCACCAGACCCTTGCCCTCAGCTGCCCCTGGTCCCCCGAGGCGGGGGCACCCCTAAGACTCCCAGCTTGGAGTCTTCATCCTGCAAGGACGACAAGGAGAGCAGTGACTTGAGACCTGTGGTCATTGATGGGAGCAACGTGGCCATGAGGTATGTGTTACTTCTGTGGCCAAGGCTGATGGTTGAGGATGGTGTCTCTGGCTCTGGGAAAAGTCTGACCTCTTCCCACAGACTGGTCTGGAAGAAGGAAAAGCCCTTTTTGAGGCCCTACTGTGTGCCAGTAGACTCCCTTAATCCTTTTGACTTCTTGAGCCAGGTTTGAGAGACGTGTTTAGGGATGAGGACTTAGGTCCAAAGGCTTGCCCATGGTTGAGCTGCTGGTTAAGTGATAGACTGAAGATTTGAACTCAGATCTTTCTGACTCCAAAACACCATACCAAAATCACTGCCATCAAGTCGATTCCTACTCATAGAACCCCCGTTGGGTTTCCAAGGCTGTAAATCTTTATGCAAGTAGATTGCCTCATCTTCCTCCAGTGGAGCAGCTGGTGGGTTTGAACCACAGATGACCTGGTTGGCAGTCAAATGCCTTACCTACTATACCACACTACACATGGATCTCTTCCTGGGTGCTATGACTCTCACAGCCTTAATTCTTTTTCTGTGATATGAGGCAATGTAGTGCAGTGGATTAGACTCTGGACTGTAGTTAAACTACTTGGATTTGAATCCCAGTTTATTTGTATTGGAGCTGTGTGACTATAACCCAGTCACTTAATCTCTCTGATCTTTATTTCCTCATCTGTAAGATGGGGCTAACCCCCTCAGGTGGTAGTTGTGAGGCATGAATGCACAGAGCCTGGTGCTCAGTAAACAATAATAATTATTATTCAGGGGCTGGGGCTTCTGAGGCCTTGTCCCAGATCTGGGCTCCCATGCTAAGTCCTTCATGGCTGTGATCAAGAGTGACCTCCAGGCTGGATCTGGCTTTGTCACTAGTGGGTGTGGGTGGTGGCCTGATGCTTTGGCTTCAGGGGAGCTGTGACTTCGGTCGTTCTGATTCAGCTGGAGCTGCCTGGACAGGACCGGGCTCTGTGGGCCTCATCAGGGCCAGAGCCAGGACTGGGCCCCAATACTCCCAAGGCCCCCTGATGCAGGTTGTCACAGGAAAATGGGTGGGGTGGGGGTAGAGGGTGAGGCTGATGGCCCCAGGGAGCCCAGACTTCTTTCAGCCTTTTCTCAGAGCCCCGCCTCTGGCCCTGCTTTCTCCCAGTTTCCTCTAAGGTGTCAGGGTGAGTCAGGACTGGGTGGATCTCTCACAAGGAAAAGTTCCTGTTGGTGTGGACTGGGAGACCCCAGGCACCGGTATGGGGAAGGAGCTCCCAGGTAGGAGGCATGATGACATCAGCCTCTGCCCTCTGTAGTGTTTGGCCCCTCCACTCCTGGCCTAGCTGGGTCAGCTTGTACTGGCCTCAACTCTGCATTCTAGCTGGCAGCCCTCTTGTTACCACCTGCCAATCAGTCTTCTCATCTCTGAAATGGGCTGAGCCTAGGTGGGTGATTGAGCAAAGCCAACTCTCATGTACCAGAGTCTGCTTTGAGTGTTAGGAGCCCCAGCAGCATGTAGCATGTAGCCGTGCAAGGAACCCAGATGGCTCTGTCTCCTTCTTTAGGGGGAGAAGGGGCCTGGGCAAGAGTAGCTGAGCCCTTGGGGCTGCCATGTGCTGTATGTTTGTATCAAGGCAGAAGGAGGAGGGGCCTGGGAAGGAGGAGGGACCAGGGGAGCAGGCACCCAAGGGGCAGAGCCTCTGGGGCTTTCTGAGCTCAGGCTGTGGCAGGAGGGGAATTCCAGCCTCAAACTTCCTGTCTCAGCTGCTGTTCAGTTCCTGCCCTGCCGCCCCCTCCCCGCCAAGGGCTGGCAGGCCCTTGCATATGCAAATCGTGGGGAAATTCACCTCTGTTTCCTTCTAAGGGAATTTTTCTCCACTGGCCCAGCCCCAGCAGATCTTACCTGGAGAGCCTATCCTGACCCTGCTCTGCCCTCTGTCCTGGGCTGAAGCACTGAGCTGGGTCTCCCGCACACTCACATATCCACACTAGTCCTTCCCGTGGGTGGGTTGGGCTCTGACCTGGAGACTGTGGGGGAGGAGGAGGGATGTCATTTTTCTCTGCCAGCAGGGCTTCCTCTGTCACAGGGAGAGGCATGAAAGCTAGCTGTAGGGAGGCCCTCTAGGCCTGGGAGGGCAGTGTCTGGGCTCCATTCAAGGAACTAGCACTAGTGTTCTACACCCACTGAGAGTAGGGCCCTGTCCACCTGCCCAGGGGTTGTTCCAGGGGCTGGGGCTGCTGACTGATCACCAGTCACGGTTTTCAGTGCTTGGAGGCAATACACTGCCCTGGAAGCCCTTGGCATCCCATTAGATCCCAAGGCTTGAAGATGCTGGCCTAGGAGGGGCATATGCATGTATAAGCAGATAGATGCATATGCAACTGCATACCAGGACAAGAGTCACAGCAGAGATGACCAAACCCTCATGGGCTGTGGAGAGACCAAGCAGAAGGCCCAAAGAGGGCAGTGAGTGATGTGATAGCAGAAGAAGCATAGGACATTGTAAAGACACAAACCAGGGACCTGACCCCTCCCAACAAGTCAGGGAAGGCTTCTCAGAGGCAGTGTACTCATGGGTCCTAAAGGAGGAGCAGGAGTTTGCCAGGTGTATTATTTCTCTTGTTCCCAACCTGTCCCTCTCTCTTAGCACTCTTGTCTGTTTCAAAAGGCAAGTTTGGGAGCTCTTTTCTCCCAGATAAGGAGCCCTGGTGTCAGAGTGGTACCATAGTGCCTAAGGCACTTGACTGCTAACCAGAAGGCTGGCAGTTCAAACCCACCAGCCATTCCTCAGAAGGAAAGTTGGGCAATCTACTTCCATAGTGATGCTGCCTTGGCAACCCAAGGAGGGGTTGCTATGAGTAGGGTCCGACTCAACGGCACATAACAACAGCAGCAGCTACTCTGTGGGTGAAAGATGTCTGCTCCAGTAAAGATTACAGTCTTGGAAACCCTATGGAACAGTTTTACTCTGCCCTATGGGGTTGCTGGGAGCTCTGGTAGCGTAGTGCCTAAGGCACTTGACTGCTAACCAGAAGGCTGGTTGTTCAAACCCACCAGCCACTCCTCGGAAGGAAGATGGGGCAATCTACTTCCGTAGTGATACTGCCTTGGAAACCCAAGGAGGGGTCGCTATGAGTCGGGTCCGACTTGACGGCACATAACAACAACAACAACATGGGGTTGCTATGGATTGGAATTGACTTGACGGGAAAGTTTTTTAAGCATCAATACTTAGTGGTCATGAGCACAAGGTCTCAATCAGCATGTCTGCTCTACCATTACTGTTGGGGACCATGGCAACTAAGTTGCCCTCTCTGGACTACAATTTTCTCTGAAAAAAGGAGATACAGAGTAGTATCTTCCTTTGCATTCCCAAGGTAATAAAGTCTACTTTCTGGTTTTGTACACTCCCAAGAAAAGGCATCTAAGGGGAGCTCTGGTGGCACAGTCCCTAAGGCATTTGACTGCTAACCAGAAGGTTGGCAGTTCAAACCCACCAGCCACTCCGCGAAGGAAGACTGGACAATGTACTCCCATAAAAATTTACCCCCTCGCAAACCCAATGGGAGTCGCTCTAAGTCGGAATCGACCTGATGGCAGTGGGTTTGGGTTTTTGGTTAAGAAAAGGACAGGAGGGGGTGACATGGATAATACCCTCATAGGCTTGTTGAAGATTAAATGCATCATCATCATCGAAAGCAGCCTAGCTCCTAGTTCTCAGTGATGTTAACTTTTATTATATAAGCAGGGCCAGTGGAGGGGAGACCATACAGGGATAAGTACTGTCTTGTGGTTGGACTTTGCCTCTCCTACAATTTACAGAGAACTTTAGCCCCTGGAGCCCTAAGCTGCCCCCTAAACAGTCTCCATGGCCCCCCAGCTGCCTTGCCTGCCTATGTAACTTCTCTTGGGGCTCAAGCTGTCACCCCCTCAAAGCCACCCACAGGATGTGGTCGGCCATGGACTTGCCTCTTTTGCGTAACGTTTATATTTTTTTATGTGCCAAATTTGAGAGTCTTGAGTTGCTCACTGAGGGGGCAGTGAGTGGATTGGGCTGCTAGGGAGGAAGTCCCAACCTGTCCCAAAGGCCCTTCCCTGCCACCTAGTGTTAGCTGGGAGCCCCAAGCCCTGGCCTCTCTCACTGTCAGCTCCCAGGAAATCTGGGCTGGAACCTCACTTTGCTGAACTGTCTTTTGCTTCAAGCAAACAGGAAAGTTTTCCCACTGACACTGTTAGCTGCAGTCGAGCCAGCCGCTGACTCATAACGACCCATGCAGACCCATGCATGAGCCCTTCCCAGGCCCGACTGTTGTGTTGTTATGTGCCGTCAAGTCGGAGTCAACTTATAAAGAACCCCTCCTTGGGTTTCTGAGGGGGTACCACTATGGAAGTAGATTGCCCAACCTACACTGTGAGCCAGAGTAGCCCAGGGGCACCTCAGGCTCTCTTCTAGATCCAGTCAAATTTGGGTAGGGGGATGTTGTAGTCATCAGACCAAGGCAGGGAGCATGTCTCAACCTCCCTTGCTAGCAGAGTCCCACAGCATCTTTTTGGTGCCCTCCTGCCTCAGGTCATGCCCTTCTGGAGTGGGGTGAGGAGAGGACCTTGGCTGGTCAGGCATTTTGGGGAATTGGCAGTCCTGGGAGGAAAAGCAGTGTCCTTTCACTTTCAAGTTGAAAGGTTCCAAAGGAGTGTCTGTCCTCTGTCACTTCCTGTCACTCATTTCTGGTTGGAATTGCCAGCCCCCTCCCCAGGTCCCAGACCTGGGAGGTTTGTGAGCAAACTTTAATCTGGAACAATCTGGTTTCTCTTCAGTTAGCCAGACCGTGTGCTTCCCCCGCCCCCACCCACAGCACGGC